CAGTGTTGGACACTGAAATGACTGCTGGCCTGTAAGGGGCAGATTCCTTCCAGACAAACTAAACTCGCATATTTCATTTAGTCTCTTCCTGGAATCCCAAATGTGCGTTTCATGTCATCTGAGCTAAAAGAAGTTAGAAATAAAAATTTTCCAACCACGTTTATCCCAGCTGAGACTTATTTCTAAAAATAGCGCGTTGTTATCCCCCAGGAGGATGTGAGTTAGTCACCCATGCTTGTATCTCCTTCCGTTTTAGAACCGCTCATATTTTGGCATCAGTTAAAACTGCTCCTATTTTCACTTAAGAGCAAATGCACCAGGCCAAAACGGGTCAGGGAGCAGAGCCATGTAGAGTAAAGCACTAGAGGCTGGCAGTTTTAGACGTCAGTTCCTTCTATCAGTCTGCAGACATTCTGACTTCTAGCTGCAGCAGGAACACAGGAAGAATGAAGAAAAATAATGATGAATCCTCACTATTAACTTCTCACACTGCAAAAATGATCTCAAAATGAGTAAAAATGTCTTAGTTTGAGGGTATTTACCCTTAATTTGAGCAGGTAAAGAAGATGATTTGCCAATGGAAGCAGTATTTTTACTCTTAAAATAAGGTATCTAGATAAAATGCACTTGAAATAAGACAATGCAATCGTTTTTTTCTTATTGTAAGTGTAAATTGTCTTGTTCCATTGGCAAAGTGTCTCACTTAAATCCTTAATTCAAGAAAAAATGACTCATTTAGATTTCATTTTTTTTGCAGTGCATTATCGCTCCTGTATGGCACCAAACAATCTGTTTGGTGTGTGGCCATTATTATTCCATTGGAACGCTTATATTTTTCTCAGTGTTTCACATGTTTAAGGAGAAAATCGTGGACAAGACAGAAGATGGAAAATATGTATCTAATGTGTTCGTCTCACTATACTTAAATGCACATTTCTCTCTGTAAAGCTGTATAAAACTTCAATTCTAACTTTTTGTTTGCTATAAAACAAGTAAAAATGTCTTAAATTAAGTGTAATTAACTTCAATTTGAGTAGGAAAATAAGATGATCTGCCAATTGAAGGAGGATGTTTTCTCTTAAAACAAGATGATTAGATAATCTGGACTCAAAATGAGACAAATTCCTTATTTTTTCTTATTTTAAATGTATATTATCTTGTTCCATTAGCAAAGTGTCTCACTTACCCACTCAATTCAAGAAAAAATGCATTTATTTTAAGAGTAAATGACTTATTTAGATCTACTTTTTTTGCAGTGTGGTTTAATCTGTCATTTATCCGACAGTGAATTGGTGAAACGCACCCCGGGCAGACTGCCAACATGCACACACAGTCCCATCTTGGGGAAAGTAGTGAGAACTCCCAGTAACGTCCATCTATTTTCAATCCTTTCTATGCCCCCATCCTGACATAACTCTATACATAGTCATTACTAGTGCACACTTAACCCTAACCTAAAACTAATTCACACTTTAATAAACCTAACTGTTGAAAAAAAAAGCAAAATGTCCTCACTTTGATACAAACACTCCTCAGTTTGATGCCAAAATGGGAACACCCACACATAAACCTCAGTTGATTAATTTATTGTACAGCTGGAAGAACCTGGAACCCATCCCTGTGTAGTGATGTCATCCATAAATCCGTTATATTTATCATTCTACCAATGATCAGTCAGAACTCTGAGGGAAGCATTTTTTTTATCTTCACATTGATAGATCCTCTTTACAAATAGAGGAAAATAGAACATTTCATGGTGTGACTTTATGATGAGAGTTTATTTTCTTTTTTTGTTTAGGCTTTGTCATTGTCTAGGTTCTGTTGTTCTTTACTTTGCTCCTTGTTTTCTAGTTTTATTGGTTTAATTCCAGTTTTGTTGTAATTTCTAGATTAGTTCTAGTTAGTTCTCAGTTTTTTCTGTTGCCCTCTTGTGTGTGTTCCTTTCCCCTTGGCTCCCTCGTTGTCTCCTCTCACACCTGCTCCTTGTCAGCCCGTTAACCCTCCCTTTGTCTCTGTCCGCTATATATGCTCTCCCTCTGCTGGTTCCTTGTCTTTGCTGTCCTCCCATGCTGTTGTCCACCTACCTCGTCTCTCCCCGGCTCCTCGTGTTTGGTTTCCCCAGATGTCTCCATAGTTCTGGTTTGTTTTTGATTATTAGTTGGATTTTTGCATTCCTGCCTTTGTTTACTGTTTTTGCCCCATTAAATTCCAAGAAATCTCCTCCGCCTCTCTGCCTCTGCATTTGGGTCCTCCAAACCTCAACCAAACCCTGCTTTTTCTTTAATATTATAAAGCAAAGTTCTGTGTTTACACTAGAGACTGACATTTTTTCGTGGGATAAGAGTCAGTATTAGTACTGATCACGTGATGGGGACTAAAAAAAAACTAGGATCGATGCCAAAAAATAAAATAAAATATAGAAAAAAAATCCAGTACTGGCGCCGCCATTTTGTAGTTTTTTTCTTTGAAGCCTACACTATAATGTGAGTCAAAAAGACTACACGACCCAAAAACCAACAGTGCTTCCGCTCTGAGTTTTTCACCCGTGCTCAAAAACAACAATGGAGGGACTAAGAATGGGAGTGGTGCAGGAACGGGAGTCATTCTGAATGGGAGCGGGATGGGAGTGGGAGTAATTTCACCAGGAGTGGGACGGGACAGGATTTAGATTTCTACTCTGCCCCGGGATCGGGACGGGACACTACTTTTTTCTGTGGGAGTGGGAGTGAAAATCCACTCCCGTGTCAGTCTCTAGTTTACACCAGGATATGAACCTTTTGGCCTTACTTTGTAGATGTGACTTCAAAAAAGTAAAAACCAATCCATTGGACTTTGTTTCCAATTTTCAAGACCCATCTAGGAAGCTTTTTCAATTAAAAATAACAGAAATAGTGTTGAGTTCCAGGCTTTATCCAGCAGCCCAACAAAGCCTTGTTTTGGCTTAGAAAACATGCAAATAGAAACGGACTCACTGGTCCCCCCCCCTTTAGAATGGGGGTCGTTTGGCATTGACATTTTTTGCTGTTCATTATACATCTCTTCTTTTGAGATTTATATTTACATAACACACATTTTTAAAAATGCCAACATGCATGGCTATTGTGAGAGCAGGAGAATTAGTCTTTATCCTTATTGACACATCACAGCATGTCCAGTGCCGGAGGAGTCACAGCCCCAGGTATTATAATTATCATCTAGGAGGTGCAAAGCGGCTGTAATGAGACACCAAAGAGCTCTCAATGAACACCCATGACAGGCAGGCAGAGGGCATCAAAGAGATGCAAAGTGGGATGCAAAACAACAAACAACCACAAAGAGATGGTTTAGAATGAAAATGAGATAAGAAGCGACGAAAATAGAACAAAGATTTATCAGAAAGATTCCAAGTTACCACAAAGATACGGATCTCAGTAGCTGTGAGAAAACAAAACATGAAATCAGTCAGCACAGAAATACGGCTGTCTCTAGTTCCAGGACTGCACTGCAAAAAATTTAATCTAACGAAGTTTATTTTCTTAAGATAATGGCATTTTTTTCTTGATTTGAGAGGTTAAATGACACATTGTCAATGGAGTGATGCAATTTCCATTTAAAATTAGAAAAAAAATCTGCAGTCTCTTATTTCAAGTGCATAATATCTAATTATCAAATTTTATACTTACTTTAAGAGTAAAAATGCTAATACCATTGGCAGATTATCTTATTCACCTGCTCATATGAAGGTTAAATACTTAATCTAAGACATTTTTACTCATTTTTAGAACATTTTTGCAGTGTGTGAGTCAGTGTGAGTCAGTGTTCACACTGAAAAAAAATCTAGAAATAAGTAAAAATTTCCTAAATTAAGTGTATTCACCCTTAATTTGAGAAGTTAAATGAGATCGTTTGCCAATGGAATGAGTAATTTTTCTCTTAAAATAAGATAATTAGTTAATATGCATTTGAACTAAGACAATGCAATTGTGTTTTCTTATTTTAAGAAAAAAATGACTAGTCTAGATTTAGATTTTTTGCGGTGCATGCATTAATTGACATTAGATTTTACCTACTGACATGATTGCCCATCTCATGTGTACATAATAAATATGCCAGAATATTGCGTTATATATAAATTAGGGATGCACGATATTGGGATTTTGGCCGATATCCGATATGCCGATATTTTAAAACTCATGTAGCCGATAACCGATATCGATACCGATGTTAAAGCTGGACAAAAATAAGTAGTCATTGAAAATAGCAGTTTTGTTATCCATTTCTGACACTTTGAAAAATAATATACTCAAATATATTTTCATACGCTGATATCAAATAGATTTTTAAAAACGCGGTATCGATCTATTTTACTTTCAAAATCTGGTGAAATTTCATCGTTCTGTTACAAACTCTAGTGATATTTTGCAAATTCTTGTGAGATTTTGTTAGTAAAATAGATCGATACCGCGTCAATATAACAACATATAAAAATATGGCAACATTTCGTGAATTTTCGGGGGATTTCGTAGCATAACGATGACATATAGCAATATTTCATTAGTAAAAGAGATTGATGTGGTGTTTTTAAATGGCAATATATCAGCATATGAAGATATTGGGATATTTTAATGTAGCAATATTTTTTCCCTCGTCTTTAGAAGTTATTAAGTCTGTAAAAAATAAATTTTTGAGGAAGAAGAAGAAGTAGTATTTTTTTTTTTTTAGACTTTAGAAACTCAGAAGCTGATCAAATATCGGGTTAAATATCGGTGGGGTGGCCGATGTCAGATATTCAGTTTTAAGGCCGATACCGATAGGGGGCCGATTATATCGTGCATCCCTAATATAGATAATACTTTCTTGTTTGATCCATCAGGCTTTTATTCTGTCTTGAATCTTTTTTTCCTTCTTTTGAACGTGCATACACTTTTTACAGTCTTACAGTATTTCTCTCTTTCTCATTTCAGCTCGTAAAATGTGAAAGAAAACCTTTATTAAGGATTGTTTTCCCCCCTCTGCTCCAGGTCTGACCTGCTGAGAAACGTTCAGCCTCTGAGTGATGAGGAGTAATTACACAGATGAATCTGCGGACCTCCGTCTGACCGGACTTTATTGCCCCTGGAGCAGTGATACAGGAGCTCATCCACAAGGAACCTGAAGCCAACATATGTTTTTTTTTTCTTTTTTTTCTCCACACTTTGGTAATCAATGCCAACCTGAAGGATTGACCTTCAGCATCACCCCCATGACCCCCTGTGTGCTCCCCAAGGTGCCTGTTGGAAAGAGGCAGCAGCTATATCAGACAACCATTCATTTGCTTTTTTTTACCCTACTCTGCATGAAGACCATCACCCAGTCCACCCCATCCATGCACGGGATGCACTTGATGTAGAGACGGATCAGCAGCTGTTCTGAGGAAGCATGGGAGACATGAGCTGGGTGTGTCTGAGCCCGGCAGAGTTCAACCAGCTGCAGCAGTACAGCGAATGTAAGTCACAGTCGACACTTGGGTTGATACATTAAATATGAACCTTTCCACCGTAAAGCAAATAATCTTTCATATGCATTGCAAAAATTATCTAGAAATAAGTAAAAAATTTTTAAATCAAGAGTATTTACCCTTAATTTTAGTAGGTAAATGGGATGATTTGCCAATGGGATGAGTATTTTTACTCTTAAAATAAGGTATCTAGATAAAATGCACTTGAAATAAGACAATGCAGTTGTTCTTTCTTATTTTAAATGTCAATTGTCTCACTTTGCTCTTCAGCTCTAGAGAAAATGCATTTATTTTAAGAAAAAATGACTTATTTAGATTTACATTTTTTGCAGTGTGTAATGAAAGAAAATAACAAATTACACTGCAAAAACCATCAAGAATTAAGTAAAAACTTTCTAAAATTGAGTGTATTTACCCTTAATTTTAGAAGATAAATAAAATGATTTGCCAGTGAAATGAGTATTTCTACTCCTAAAACAAGATAATTAGATAATATGCACTCGAAATAAGACAAAGCAATTGTTTTTTTCTTATTTTAAATGTAAAATGTCTTGTTCCATTGGCAAAGTATCTCAATTACCTCCTCAATTCAAGAGAAAATGCACTTAATTTAAGCGAAAATGGCTCATATAGATTTCAATTTTTTGCAGTGTAAGTTCTCCTGAATTTACAAATATTAACTTTAATCCCAGATTAAAATATGACATAAACTAACCAGGAGTTTTCCTAGTTATGTTTTGCCTGTAATGTCTTCGACCCTCTGTGGCATTCAGAACTATTTCAATTCTTTGTGGTACACTGCAAACACACTGCAAAAAAACATCTAGAAATAAGTACTAAATTTCTTAAAATAAGTGTATTTACCTTTAATTTTAGTAGGTAAATAAGATGATTTGCCACTGAAATTAGCATTTCTACTCCTAAAATAAGATAATTAGATAATATTCACTTGAAATAAGACAAAGCAATTGTTTATTTCTTATTTTAAATGTAAATTGTCTTGTTCCATTGGCAAGGTGTCTCACGTATCTCCACAATTCAGGAAAAAATTTACCTAATTTAAGCAAAAATTACTCGTATAGATTTCCATTTTTTGCAGTGTACAAATTCAACAAGGTGTTAGAAAAGATTCTCAGAGGTTTTATCATTCTTATTGATCTGAGAGGATAATATAGATTTTGCTAATGAATCTATTATTCTTTCTAACTGCAGCACATCCCAAATGTACTCTAAAATTATGGTGATAGATCAGGCTATGTTGCATGACGCAGTCAGCCCTGAGGGGCCATATTGTCTGAAATATCTACCATACTGTATGATCACATCACACCTTCACACCTTCAAATGTCAACGCATGTTGTGCACTCAGTGGTATTCTGTGTAACTTGGTTCTTACAAGGGGATTTATTTAAACTAGGTTAAACTGGTTCCTGTTCATTCTTCATATTGAATAAGGCATTTTTTTCCCCATAGAGCTGCAGTTCCCCATATATCCAAATCATTCTCTGTCACCTAGAGAGAATCCAGTAGATCAGTACACTGCAAAAACGTTCTGAAAATTAGTAAAAGTGCCTTTAAACAAGTGTAAAGTTGAGTAGGAAAATAAGATGATCTGCCAATGGAATGAGCATTTTTACCCTTAAAATAAGATGAAGTAGATATGCACTTGAAGTAAGAGAATATAGTTGTTTTTTCTTATTTTAAATGGAAACTGTCTTATTCCATTGGCAAAGAGTCTTACTTACCTGCTCAATTCAAGAAGAAATGCACTTGTTTTAGGAAAAATGTACTTACTTAGATTTAAATTTTTTGCAGTTCAGTTACCAATTGACAATCCACAGTTGTTGGATCTCTATAGGTGAAAGGAGTTCATAGAATAGAATAGAAATGTTTATCTAAAAACATCTCTCTTCATGTTTAATGAGGATATTAGAGTACATATGATATTCAATCATTAGTGGTGTTAGCGCTACCATTATGTGACAATGTGGCCATGAGGGCTGGATGTGGCTTCACAGCCAAGACCACATCCAGCGCTCATCCTCCCACAAACCATCTCTGCTTTGCCAGGTAACATCTTTGTTAGGCAGATATCTAAAACATTATTCAGTGTGTGGCGTCAGAAACGAGTGAGTCACTGTTTAGGCTTGATTCATGCTTGATCAGTGTTGGCCATGTTCCTAAAAAAAAGTAACTTATTATAGTTACTTGACCCAAAACATTATTTAATTGAACTTTATTAATCTCACACTGGAGAAATTCAACTCTGCGTTTGACCTATCCCCTTGGGGAGCAAGGGGATGACACGTTTTCAGAGCACAAGCGCCCTGCTCTAACCACTAGGCCAACTCTCCCCCACTGAGCCAGTGACTCAGTAACCGCTCAATCAAGTACTGTATCTAGTTAAGGCAGCTGCACCTAAGATCTTGATAACAGAACTTGAGAGGTCAGATACTACATATTATTTATATATTATATTAATTAAAGCTACAGAGCGTAAGTTTCAGCGACATCTAATGGTCAGACTGGAGCGACATCAAACCTGCCGCTAAATTGTCGTCTATGTACAACTTTTGAAACGCCTTGGGGAGACCATGAAGTTTTTGAAAAGCACCTGGAGCACTGAAAATGTATTCCATTTTGGTTCAGCTGCATCTGGATGATGATTGGATTCAGCGGCACTTCCTGTTAGATCGTCGTTAGAGAGCACCGGTGCTAGAGGTAAGGGGGTTGCTGGAGGTAAGGGAGGACATCTTTGTAGTCTAAACTACAGACTAAACTAAAACGGCTCTTTAAAACCAACACCTAAAAACCTCCACAGAGAATTCCTTATTTCATCCTTTGTCAGCATTATTTCCTCTCTATTCCTTTCCTAAATGAAAAAAGCTTCGTCTCTGCTGCACTTCTTCAACTTACGTCACAACTACAATCCGTGCCGATTGGTAGTGTTAAGGAAGAAAATATTCTAAAATAGTTAACTTTGGAAAAAGTTTGGCTTCTATCTTCCTATGGTACCCGGGCCTCTCGGGGAGCTACGTGTGGCCCAAAGGAAAACCAGCAAGGCGTGTGGACGTCACAGAATCACAGAATTTAATCCAACAAAACTGCAGAACAACAGAAACATACATTCAATTACCTGAGGTAAAGAAAATAGAAAAGAAAGCCAAAGACGCGTCTTTGGAGAGAGCTGGTGCAAAAGAGCAAAATAGTGGCAGCTATCAGAATTTTTGCCCCTGTGCACATATTTTATAATGTAGATAAGTCCTTCCCTTTAGTATAAGGGCCTCCGCTTGACCAATTGGAAGCTACCTTGGACACTCAGAAAAACTTAGAACTTTACCTAATTTACTGCCGGGCCTCCAGGAATTCTAAGGTCATCTGGCTAACATGAGATAAGGTTTCACAGAATCGGTGTGGAATGCGGGTCCTCTTCCTGCCATACATTCTCAAGAACAAACTTAAATTCAGTATTTTGGTTCAAGGAAAGGTTATCTTCACAAACTCAATTTTGCTCTTCTGCACCATTTCACCCCAAAAGATTGAATCCTGCCTTAAACCAAAAATAACACATAGAATCAACAGAACATGCGATACAATTCCTTTTTCTCACATATGAAACATAATATTCAATCCAAAGTATACAAGCTAACATATTCAATTACCCCATTAAGCATAGATCCTGAGCAATTTTCTAATACTAAACAAAACATTTTCATTCAAACAATTTCCATTTGATTCTGATATTGTCACAGATAGTACAATTTTCAAATACATTCATCATCTACTAAACTAGTTAATTCTAATATTAGATAATACAATTTTCATTTAAAAAACATGCTATTAATTCTTAGAAAAATGTCTTAAAAACTAAAGGTTAGTGTTTTAACATTCTACATTGTATTCAGTTTCACACCACCCCAGATGTTTTATTCTGGAAGACTTTTGGTCTTCTGTAAACCAAGCAGACCTCTCTCCTCGAGGCTCAAATGATATTCGCCCCCCAGGAGATACTCATTTTATGGCCTCCTGTGCTTTGAATACTTACCCATCAATAGTTTAGTTTTAAATCATTAACACAACCTTGTTCAAAATTAAGAAATATGGTCAAAATGAGAGTTTTCAACATACCTTTTACACATGCCATAAGATTAACTGTATTAAAAACTAAAAATAATCATTTTTCTTTAACAGTAGATATATTGATTGATAGATGATCAGACGATCACTATTTTTTGCTACCCGTTGGTTACGTAACGCTGCCTTCTCGCATGGTGCATACGCCATCATTGTTATTTGTCTCTGCCGTTACAACAAATCCCATGATGCTTTGCATGAGAGCTCTGGCAAAGCAATCTGCTTGTCTAGTGACCATGGATGATCACTACTTTTCAAGGTGCATTGTGGGGAAATTTCAAGTCCACTACTGTTTCATCCAATTGACATTCAGACACTCTTTCAAAATGGCGTAATCGGACATTCGGACACAGCCTATGATTTCTCAATGTGTCGGTCCAAAGCGAGTTGCTATCAGATTGCAAAACAAGGAGCAAGACAGATGATTTTACCTGCACTGTAGCGCGTACTAAAGCCTGAAATTTACAGGTCAGGTGCCCCCTGGTTGCTATAAGTTACACATTGTTGCTTTAAAACGGGATGGATGCATTATTTTCAATATTTTTTTTATAAAATCAATTAAAGAAACGTGGTTTCTGATAGCATGCTGTGTTATTTTTTTTTTTTTTACCCAGTACTAATTATTATGGCATCTATTACCTTGCTTTTAAGACTGTAAGGACAATACATAATTTAAGACAATTCCTTTTTTTTATTTTATTTACATTGATGAAGAATTTCATCACATGTTCTAATGTCCATAATCAAACACATGTTGGCGTAATGAAGACATGTCTGTCTCATTTAGTGTCACACTGTAAAGAGATCAGGACAAAGAGTATTTATGATGGAGAACACAATAGTTTTTTATCTATTCAGCACGACTTCTATCACACGCATCACATGATTTCTGCTTTCTGTCTAATGTTAAAGTTAGGCTCACCCCTAAAAACCAGCATGCTAATAAAAGAAAAATATGTGTAGTCGCCGCAGTAATCCTAGATTTTCTGCATTGATGTGAGTACTAAACCTGTGTTGACATATGGTTTAAGGCATTTCAGGTTCTGATTACATCCATGTATTTGATATTGGGGCGCCTCGGAACACCAGGCTGTTGGATGAGTCCTGTGGCTTTTTCCATCTATGCTGTCTGCAACATTTGTTAGTCAAAACGGCATCTGACAATGTGGTGCAGATGGATGACAAGAAGTCACGCAACCGTTCCTCTTAAGAATTACATTGTCATGCAAATATATTTTTTTTTTTTCTGGAAAAAGCAATTTTTTTAAAAACCTTTAGCTTTTCTATATTTTGTCACCCAACATGTAAAAATTGTGTACGTTAAGAAAGGCGAGGATTTGAATTTCTTATGCAATAAAACATAAATTGTGTGCTACACAGTTTTGTTATGCATTTTTTTTATGCTTCTAATAGAGATTTTGTCCCACAAGACAAAAAAAATCAAGTTTAAAGGAAAAGTCCGGTCTACAAGGAATAATCATTGGATCATTATTTATACCTAAAATTAATATGTTCGTGGTGATTTAATGAATTTAGAGTTAATGAGTAAAAAAATAAAAATAATTTGCGTCGCGATCACTGAGTCTGGGAGCGGCCATTTTTCCCCAAATATAGTAACACCTTTTTTTTTTTTTTTAGAACTTTATTGAACATTTTGTACAAACATACAGACATATGGTTACATAGAACATTAGACAGGTGCTCTAATAACAAAAATAAATAAAGAAAATAATGAAAAGCTATTCTTTGAAAAGTCTTTCAAAAATATCTGGGGATGTGGTGCTTTGTTTAGAATTAATTAATGTAAGGGTTATCATGTATTATTTAAATTCAAGCAAGAAACATTTGAATTTGGGGGATGTTTTGGAATGTTTGCATTTGTGTGTATGAAATTTACCATACAAAATGAATAGATTTGTAATAAAAGCAGCATTCATGTCACCATGGACAAAATAAAATATTACATTTTTATAGTCAATTACAATATTTGTTTTGAGTTTACACATTATATATTGTTCAAGAAGAGTCCAGAAAGTGGTAGATTGAGTACAATGATCCAATAAATGAGATAAGGTTTCTGGTACCATGTTACAAAAACTGCATTTACTTTCAATATCTGAGAATTTAGAAAAATATAAATTTGTCGAATATATAGTGTGTAAAATTTTAATGTGAATCTCTTTTATCTTATTAGATATACAGTATAGCCAGGCCTTCTTCCAGTCAGTTACCATAAAGATGTTATCCCAAAATGCATTTCCTCGTGGTTTTATCATTCTCTTTTCGTAAAAAACAATGACGTATATGTTTGCTGTTGCATTTTGAGTCTGTTAGATCATAACCATTAATCATTAGAGGGGTTTTTATTCTAAGTGCTTCATGGTACTGACAATGACTTCGGATCAGGAGAGAAAGGCCACTAGGGATAGCCTTAGTTACGTAACTGATATATGTGACAGGAAAGGATTTAAGTCTAAGGAAATGTAATATATATAGTAACCCCTCCCTCCCGCCATCTTCCAGCAGTGACGTCACGGTGCGGTAAGCCTAGCGCCATTCTCCCCGCTTTCCAAGCTAAATCAATGGGAACTACTAGAGACATCTGCAATCAACAACAATTATTGAAGATTTCCAGAGGACTTCACCATTGAAATTCACCAGAGCTATAGTGAAACTGACAATGCCCACATGCATGGCAGCTGGATGCTGGAATACATCGGGTAAAAGTGGAAAATAAAGAGTTATTCCACCTTTCTGATTCCTGATCCTCCACGGACGGGTTGGTCGTTGGATCGCCAACTTGAAAAGGGAGGATTTGCCATCGAACTTCTGGCCAGAGAAAAAACCCGTAATATGTAGCCAACATTTGGAAGAAGAATGTTTTCAAGATGACTTGAATAATAGCGCGTTGTGACAAACACCAGATACAGCACTGGGACTTGATGAACAGCCGATACCGCACCGTGACGTCACAAACCAGTAGGTGGCAGTAGTGTTCTTTGACAAAATGGATGCCTCCAGTAAAGCACATTCAAAGAAAATGACTCTAAAATTAAAACTCTTATAATGTTTTGAAAAGTATGTCATAATTTTATTCTTAAAGTGCTTTCAGAAGTTTGTATTCTGAATGTGACCGGACTTTTCCTTTTCCGGACAGTTTTATTAACCAACAGCATGAAGGGCAGATGTGGGTAGATTCCAAACATAGTGACTCTGGAGTTCTTGTCCTCTGAAAACACAGCGCATAGAGTTAAAACGTAACGTGACCTGGGAATGATTGCAGCAGGCAGCGGGCTTCCTTTAAGAGTGAGATTCCTAAGCTTAGGTAGAGATAACTGGGGTCCAAGGCTGTGGCTGAGAACTCTGTCCTTCCAGTGGAAGCTGTTAGTCAACGGCAGCTGCTGGGTGGACAAATTGTGGACCTCTGTACAGTCTATTAGGCAGAAAGCTCTTTGCTTAAAGGCTCTGAACATTTATTGATTGATTGATTGACTTCATTGGTGTGGAGAAACTTTCTCGTTACATCAGCTCAAATAGTCAAAGGAGAAGAATGTGCCAAAGGAAGAAAAAGGTGCATGGGATATATACAGTATATACAGTACATCCACATATGACAGCTTCCTCTTTTTTTTTTTTTTTTTATAGTAGGATCCTTATACAGGGTTACTGAAAAAACACGATGAAAATTACTTTGATGTGCAGAGGCTCAAGCAGCACAGGATGTTTCAGAATTACCAATCAAAATCACAATCCGGCGGGGAATAGTTGGCATCCTGCTGCTCTTAAGCACCCATGATTTGCAGGTCAGCCGCTGACCAAAACTCTGCAGCAGCTCAAGGGAAAAAAAACAGCCACAGCAGCTCCCTGACAATTTATCCTAAAGATGGATCCAAAGAGCCAAAAATCAAAGGGCCCAACACGCCGAAAGACATGGGTGAGAATCGTGGATACAATCAGGACTACAACCGACAATTATTTTGTGAATCGATTCATCTGTCGATTATTTTTTTCTATTAATTATCTGATAGCCAAAGGTTCCCTAAAGAAGATTTTTTTAATGAATTTAAACCAGGTGAAACTAAACCGTTTCACCTTGAGAAGTTCTGGATACAAATTGAAAATATAGAACTTTATTGATCTCACAATGGAGAAATTGACTTTCTGCATCTAACCCCTTTGGGGAGCAGTGGGCTGCCATTTTGCGGCACCCGGGGAGCAGTGTGAGGATTAAGGGTCTTGCTCAAAGACCCAGAGCTCAGGCTGTCGGGATCTTTGAGCACAAGTGCACTGATCTAATCACTAGGCCAACACTCCCCCACATAGAGCATATTGACAGATTCATTTATTTTTTATTTTTTATATAATTCCTGCTCTAATTGGGTCACTCTGTCAGCTAAATACTTGTCTTACAGTCTCTATGCTCCAGTTAAGGATTAATCAATCACTAAATTAGTTGATGATTATTTCAATGATTAATTAATCACAATTAACCCAATTAATTATTTCAGCCTTAGTTACAATGTAAAATGACAATCATGTAGGTGCAAACAGGAATACCTCACACCCTCAGGATCCTCAGCACCAACCATGCATTTATCTCTCTTTTTAACCTCCAGGCACAGGGAAATATCACAAGATTAAAAAGAACTCAGACAAAGGGGGCCTCTATGTCAGTATGAGAGCATCATATGACTGAAAGGAGCGGCTTTGGAAGGTGTGCTGTGGAAACCAGTGGCCCACATGTCTGCCGGTGCTCGGCTTCCACCCTTAATCATTGGAGGAGGTCGTTTTGTTTAATGTTCTGAAAAGACGAAGCGTTTGTAGGATTAGCATATAAGCGAGAGGGACACAATGTCCCCTCTGTCTAACTGCCAGGGTGACTCAGCAATTTGTCTCATCTGATGTTTTTGCAGCAGAGGAGTGTTTATCAGGGGACCTATTAAAGTGATGCATCTTTACTGATTTTATTCAAAGACCACTCTGATTAAGATAAGCGGTTCTCTGCTGTATAGAGCGCAGCAAAGGAAAAATAATAATCTGATTGTCTCTGCTTTTATCCTCAGACTCCACAAAGAAGCTGAAGGATGTTCTGGAGGAGTTTCACGGTGGGGGCGTTCTCTCCAAATACAATCCAGAACAGGTGCGCCTCTAATTCACAGCGGTTCTCTTTTCTTTCTTTTGCTGACACAAACATTTCATTTTATCATGACGGATAGATTCAAACTCAGCTGAAGAGAAACCCTTTGAAACAAGTAAATCACAATCATCAACCAGTGCCAGTTATGCTGCATGTTTATAGCAGCGACTCAGAATCAGTGAAACGCAATTATAGGAACCTGGAAAAACGATCTAGAAATAAGTAAATATTTCTAAAATTAGGTGTATTTACCCTTATTTTGAGTAGGTAAATGAGATAGTTTGCCAATGGGTTAAAAAAAGAGAAAATATCGCTCCACAGGCCTGCGAGAGTCCTTCCTAGTCTGGAAAAATGGTTTACTGTTGTATAAGAGGACCCTTTGTAAAGCAAGAGCAGCATACTTCTCCTCATTAATAGAGGAGAATAAGAATAATCCTAGATTTCTTTTTAATACAGTTGCCAAACTCACCCAGAGCCATAGCTCTGTTGAACCGTCCATTCCACCTGCTCTTAGCAGCAATGATTTTATGGGATTCTTTATAAATAAGATTGATCTTATTAAAAATAAGATCATAAGCACTCCTCTATCCGCGATTGTACCTGAGGTAGTCATGGAATCTGAACCGGGTTTAGACTGCTTTGATCCAGTTGAACTCTCTGAATTAGCAAAATTATTGTCTTCATCTAAGCCTTCAACTTGTATGTTAGATCCAGTTCCAACCAGGTTATTTAAGGAGGTATTCCCTTTGATCTCCTCCTCCATTTTAGATGTGATTAATCTATCTCTGTTACAGGGATATGTACCTAAAGCTTTTAAGATTGCTGTAATTAAACCTCTGCTTAAGAAACCGTCTCTTGACCCAGATGACTTGGTCAATTATAGACCTATATCCAATCTTCCTTTCTTATCCAAAATTCTTGAGAAAGTAGTTGCCAAACAAGTTTGCGATCACTTCCACCATAATGAACTTTTTGAAGAGTTTCAGTCTGGCTTTAGAGCTCATCATAGCACTGAAACAGCTCTGGTGAAAGTCACTAATGATATTCTCATGGCCTCAGATAATGGACTTGTATCTGTGCTCGTCCTGTTGGATCTTAGTGCTGCATTTGATACAGTTGACCATAATATTCTTTTAGAAAGGCTTGAATATTTTGTTGGAATTAAAGGAACAGCACTAGACTGGTTTAAATCTTATCTATCTGATCGAATTCAGTTTGTTCATGTTAATGATAGATCTTCAACACGCTCAAAGGTTACCTGTGGAGTACCACAGGGATCAGTGCTAGGACCAATTCTCTTTACTTTATACATGCTCCCAATTGGTAGAATTATTAGACAGCATGGGATTAATTTCCACTGTTATGCTGATGATACCCAGCTATATCTGTCTATAAATCCAGATGAAGCTAACCCATTACATAGATTACAGGCATGTCTTGAAGACATAAAAACCTGGATGACTCTTAATTTTCTGCTTCTGAATGCAGACAAAACAGAAGTTATAGTCTTTGGACCAGAGTCTCTGAAAAAGAAACTGATTAGCCAGTCACTTCATTTGGATGGGATTAAACTGATTTCAGATAATAAAGTAAAAAATCTTGGTGTTATTTTTGATCAGGACCTGTCATTTAAATCCCATATCAAAGAGGTTTCTAGAATTTCCTTCTTTCATCTGAGGAACATTGCAAAAATTAGAAATATCCTGTCCAGGGGTGATGCTGAGAAACTAGTCCATGCATTTGTTACTTCAAGGCTGGACTATTGTAATTCTTTACTATCAGGAAGTCCACAAACTGTAGTTAAAAGCCTTCAGCTGATCCAAAATGCTGCAGCCAGAGTTCTAATGAAAATTAAAAAGAGAGATCATATCTCGCCTATCCTGGCTTCTCTTCATTGGCTTCCTGTTAAATCAAGAATAGAATTTAAAATCCTCCTTCTCACATATAAAGCCTTAAATGGCCAAGCTCCATCTTATATCAGAGATCTGATTGTTCCTTATGTTCCTAACAGAGCACTTCGCTCTCAATCTGCAGGTTTACTAGTGGTTCCTAGAATTTCTAAAAGTAGAATGGGAGGCAGATCTTTTAGTTATCAGGCTCCTCTCCTGTGGAACCAACTACCAGTTTTAGTCCGTGAGGCAGACACCCTGTCTACTTTTAAGGCTAGGCTTAAAACTTTCATTTTTGATAAAGCTTATAGTTAGGGTGGCTCAGGTTATCCTGAGCTATCTCTATAGTTATGCTGCTATAGGCTTAGACTTTTGGAGGACATAGGGACCCCCCATTTCATCATTCTGCTTCATTCTCTCTCTGTTCTCCTATTCTGCAGAATCTGTTAGTTCAATCTCTAACCTTCTGCTCTCTCTGCTTTTCCTCAGAGTAGCTTTGCCTCGTCTGTTCCTGTTTGGCTGTGACGTCATCCTGGAAAAAAACATCAGCTGTGCTGCTTCTATCAACACCCTTGTTAATAGATGTTGGAGATCGGCCTGTTTTCCAGTGTGGTCCTGTTTCTCTGACCGTGACTGAGTGGATGTGCTCTCTTCGTCCTCTGGCATGGGAGCTGCCTTGGAGCTCGTCTGCCTGGCTGTGTGTTTCCTGGACGGGGCCGCCTTTTACAGCTGCTTTTTGTATCTCTGCTTCTGTCTCCTTGAACCCCAGTCGGCCTCGGCAGATGGCCGCTCACACTGAGCCTGGTTCTGCTGGAGGTTTCTTCCTGTTAAAAGGGAGTTTTTCCTCTCCACTGTCGCTACAAGCATGCTTAGTGTGGGGGATTGTATTTGAGTCAATGCAATCAACTGGTTTTCCTTAGATAGAAAACTTTGTATCAATTTGACTGTATGATCTGGTTGAACTGTAAAGTGCCTTGAGATGACATGTGTTGTGAATTTGGCGCTATATAAATGAACTGAATTGAATTGAATTGAAATATGATAATTAGATAAAATGCACTTGAAATAAGACAATGCAATTGTGTTTTCTTACTTTAAGTGTAAATTGTCCTGTTCCATTGGCAAGATTTCTCTTTTACCTCCTCAATCCAAGAAAATACACTTATTTTAAGAAAAAATGACTTATCTAGATTTCAATTTTTTTCAACAGAGCAGATCTGAAATGAGCACGATGGTGAAAAGGGCAGAAAGTCGTCTGGTCTGCTTTATTGTTATTACATTTAGCTGGGTCACAACTAGAATAAACAAACAAGAGATAAAACATTGTGTTGTGGTGAAGATGGTTTCAAATAAAACTGACTTCAATTCAATTCAGTTTATTTATATAGCGCCAATTCACAACACGTCATCTAAAGGCTCTTTACATTTTTTCTAAGGAAAACCAGTTGTTTGCATCGACTCATTGACTCGAAGTCAATCCCTAAGTATGCACTTAGTATGCTTGTAGCGACAGTGGAGAGGAAAAACTCCCTTTGAACAGGAAGAAACCTACAGCAGAACCAGGCTCAGTGTGAGCGGCCATCTGCTGAGGCCCACTGGGGTTCAAGGAGACAGAAGCAGACATAGAAAAAGAAGCAGAGATACAAAAAGCAGCTGTAAAAGGCGGCCCCATCCAGGAAACACACAGCCAGGCAGACGAGCTCCGAGCCAGCTCCCATGTCAGAGGATAAAGAGAGCACATCCAGTTAGTCACAGTCAGAGAAACAGGACTACACTGAAAAACGGGGCGATCTCCAAGAATCAAAGGTGTTGATGGCAGCAGCACAGCTGATATTTCTCTCCAGGATGGAGTCACAGCCAAACAGGAACAGACCAGATGAAGCTACTATGAGAAAAAGCAGTGAGAGCAGAACGTTAGAGATTGAACTAACAGATTCTGCAGAGTGGGAGAATAGAGATAGAATGAAGTAGAATGATGAAAAAGGGGTCCCTATGTCCTCCAGCAGTCTAAGCCTATAGCAGCAAAACTATAGAGATAGCTCAGGATAACCTGAGCCACTCTAACTAGAAGCTTTATCAAAAAGGAAAGTTTTAAGCCTAGCCTTAAAAGTAGACAGGGTGTCTGCCTCACGGACTAAAACTGGTAGTTGGTTCCACAGGAGAGGAGCCTGATAACTAAAAGATCTGCCTCCCATTCTACCTTTAGAAATTCTACCACTCGTAGAACTGATCTGATTTTGTCAACCCGCTCTGTTATTCTTCTTTTTTTTTTAGATGCATTTAGATCAGAGGAAGAAGCAGGTTGGTTTTAAAGAGTGATGTTATCTACTGAAAGAGGTTGTTTCTCAGACCCAGTGTTTGCTTTAACTTTGCCCTTTGGAATCATATCTTTACAAAACCATCAAAGCCACAAGAAAATCACAAACAAATCTGAAGCTTCAGTGTTACAGTAGTAACCATTCAGAATGCCCCCATTTTCCTTGATGGGTCCTTGACTGGTCCCCTACAATTCCTTTTCAAATATCTTTGTACTAAAATATTCTGTCATGATTTGTGGACATTAAGATCTAAAGAGAAGCGTCATCTATTGGTCAGACCCTGTAATTCAGGTAAAGGGTTGAGTCAGATTAAAAATATATGCATGCCCAGGGGAAGGATGGGGTCAATCCAGTGGCTGGAAGTTGGAGGGGATTTTGGTGAGAGTCGCAGGGAAGTGGGCTGCCATTCAGCTGCTGTTTGACTGGAAAGAGCCATTTTGAATGGCTGCTACTGTACAGTGAAGGGAACAGCTCCTCCCTGAACTGTGCTGCTTAGGATGCATCTCCTCTGGTTTCTTCTGTTAAGGATCTCCCAGACTTTCTTCTTTTTGACAGAAGCTGGAATATAATTTGGTAAAGCTCCAGTTTTTCTTTTTGCATTTTGAGTTAAACTAGTTTAAGATGCACAAGAACATAATAATAATAATAATAATAATAATAATAATAATAATAATAATAATAATAATAATACATTTTATTTGTATTGCACTTTACATTTAAAAAAATCTCAAAGTGCTACAAAATTCATAGTTAAAACAAAACCGTACAATAAAAACAGCATACATAGTTAAAATGA